AATGCTGACAAAAAGTAGTTACTCAACCAGGGTAAGTAAGAGTGAAAAGATTAATAACAGGATATTTCTCACTTCCAAGATATTTCTCCATAAACTTCTGTGATTTTTCTCCCTTTGTCTCTTTTCAGACATGTGTTTGTTTTTTCAAATCCATTCTATTTTTGTTTCATATAAGCTGTAGCAGAAACAAAGAAAATTAAAAATAGCTTTTATGTTTTTTAGCTCATGCCTGGATCCCTCATTTATTCAGTATGTCACTGGCTTTGTGGTAATGACACCTTTAGATAGCTCAAAAACAAAGGGAAACAAGACAAATGATTGACCCAGCAAAAACAAAAAAAGAAGTTATCTAGTGAATATCAGAAAACACTGAAGTTGACAGGCTGCTGAATTTATACCAGGTGCACCTTAGAATCAGAAAACAATGTTTGTTATTTCTTTTATATGCATTAGGAAGGTTATCTGACCACAAACATATGGGAAATTTCTCTTTAATTACACATATTTACACAACGCTTCCTTTGCTTCCCTGACACTATAGTCTAAAGGAAGTCTAGGAAGAAATGATAGACACAATAAATTATACATGACTAAGCACACTGGATAAAACAATTTTGATGTAAAAAAATATGTCTCATTCCATATGTTTTAAGTATTATAGTGAAAATGGATTAAGCACTTCAAAAAAATGGAAGACTAACATCATTCTAACCTTAACAAGAGCATCCCACGAGAAAACAGCTGATCTGAAGTCATTAAAGATTCACTGTAAATCATTTTAACAATTTCTCACCATGTCATCCCATTAAAACTGAGCAGAGCTTCTAATTAGTCTGAGATTATGGACAGAAGACAAAGCTGAGTGTCACATTGAATGGTGCTGCCTATAAAACCCAAACACGTGCATCGATGACCTGTGTCTTCCAAGTAAACAGGGAACTCTAGCCATGAGTGGTTTACAGAGTGGGAAGGAACATAATGCATTATTGCATGGGGGCCTCTGGCTTTCCTCTGGCAAGGATGATAATCTGATTTTGAAGTAAAAATGGATTCCAAAAAAAGAAAAAACATCTTAATATTTTAAGATGAAAGATGTGTGATAAACTAATACACTTGCTGGTCATATGACATCCATCATGATTTTGTTCACAATCTAAATTAATGAATCAACCCCCTACTTGTATATTATCATCAAAAGCATCTATATGAGTTACATGGCCTATATTTTCATTTTAAAGTTTCTGAATATATTACATGGTTTATTCATTACGTTTCAGGATTCACTCAACTAACTTATCTAGTAAATAATTTCACAACATAATGTCCTATTAAAATTTCCAGAAATGCACTTCCTCCCATCTTGGAAATTTAGCATGTAGAGATGTGAAAACAGATACAGAACATAGGAAATTCTTACTGTTAAATTTTCACAATGGTGGCAAAGGAAAAATTTTTTTTTAAATATTTCCTCCTTTCCTCTTCTCTTCCTTCTATTTCTTCCTTGTTTTTTCACTTATTTATATTCTTTTCATATATTTGAATCAATATTCTGATCTCGAAGTGATCAGTAAAAAAGTACATGGATAAGTCAATAGTGGAATAATACATACATACTTAATTCAAGTATTTACAAGAGAAAATCTAATACTTGCAAGAAGACTTCAAAGGACAACTCTAAATGAAAAAGGACCTTATTATGCTTCATCCTTTTTGCATACATTGACTCCTGAATGATTGTTATACATACTATCTTAAATATACATTCAATAAGTTATAGGTATTGACAGAGTTAAATAAAACCCAACCAAAGATAATATGTATTTTAAATCCTAAAATGGACTTAGCATTTATTACATTTTAATCTGTCAAACATTAAAGTGAAATGACAAATATATTTTATCAAAGGGAGCTTAGTTTTTAGGAGGTAACCCAATAATATTTTAATTATACATTGTATTTTCTCTGCTTTAGCTTTTTTGATAAAATTATAATACTGCAGCTTTATAATACCAAGAAATATATTGATCCCTTCTCAAGTAAGAATTACTATTTTTAAAAAATATTATTATTTTGGTGAGGAAGATTGGCCCTGAGCTAATATCTGTTGCCAATCTTCCTCATTTGTTTTTATTCTCTTCCCAAGGCCCCAGTACATAGCTGTACATCCTAGTTTTAAGTCATTCTAGTTCTTCTATGTGGGATGCTGCCACTGCATTGGCTTGATGAGAGGTACGTAGGTCTGCGCCCAGGATCCGAACCAGCCAACCCCGGGCCGCCAAAGCAGAGAGCGTGAACTTTACCATTCAGTCACAGGGCTGGCCCCAAGTAAGAATTATTTATTCATTGCTAAGCAATTTAGCCCAACTAAAATCTTATTATAATGAACTCTACACTACCTCTCCATTGCTTTGCTGCACTAGAATTTTACCATAACACATAAATTCTTCAAAAATCTCTCCTGTTAATGCAAGATTTTCAAATGATAGAAAGGTTACTATGTATTTACCAGAGAGGGAAATGCAGTTTTGAACTCAAGAGGAAACACCATTCATCACCAATGTCAGGTTGGTTTAAAAAAAAAGGATTTTCTGGCCCCGTGGCCGAGTGGTTAAGTTCGCGCACTCCGCTGCAGGCGGCCCAGTGTTTCGTTGGTTCGAATCCTGGGCGTGGACATGGCACTGCTCATCAAACCACGCTGAGGCAGCGTCCCACATGCCACAACTAGAAGGACCCACAACAAAGAATATACAACTATGTACTGGGGGGCTTTGGGGAGAAAAAGGAAAAAAATAAAATCTTTAAAAAAAAAAAAAAAGGATTTTCTTTTTCTTTGGAGACTGTTTTTTTGCTGGAAATCCTCTTTGTCTGGGAGTAACTGAAACTTTCCATAAGCACAATACGGCATTATATAATAGGTAGATTGTACCTAGAGAGTAAGTGTGTGTGTGTGTGTGCACACGTGCACATGTGTATGCAAGCGTATATGTCTGACAGAGCTAAACACACGCAGTCAGGCTGGGAACTTAGCTTAAGCTTTTAATGGAGGGATAAAAATATTATAGCTGCTGTGTAAAACATGGCAACAATCATAAAATCTTAAGAGCTTATTTCTCTTCTTTCCTTTACACAAGACCAAAAATATTTTCTGCCATATTTTCAATACAAACCAGTGAACAGAAAAGAGTACATCTATTGTCCAAATATAAAATATTTAAACTAAAATATACATCAAATTTTGAAGAGCCTGTATTGCTGTTTTTTAATTACAGCTATAAAAATGGAAAAACATCTCAGAGTTAAATTCAATAATACTACACTACTTTACTTCACATACTTAACAAAATCAGATATTTGTGATGGATGATGAAAATAAGGTTAAAAATTTACCTAGCATTTATCTCCTGTGATACATATTTACACTAGAAAATAATAAGACATGGAAGACATCGAAAATATGAGATTCAGCTAAAGGAAATTCGACAGTTGGAATGCATACACCAGTTCTTTTTTAAAGACATAACTATTTTTAAGAAATAATCACCACAGAAAGCATTGATTTAGGCGAAATTCTCAATTTCCTAGACGGGGAACTGAGTCACAGATCGGTTGGTTGACTGATCAAAGATAACGTCCCTCACTAATACTATAGAAAGGGCTCAGATTAAAACTCACTACATTACAGTTTTCTTTTTCCTCCAACTATCAAAATAAATTCTTCTTTGTGGCTTAAGGAGCAAAGTCCAAGGGGAGACTCTAACAGACTTGGCTTGGCCTCAGAGCTCACGCCGGAACAAAATACTACATGGAAGATGTGGACGGGAAGGCTTGAGTGGCACGTTCATGGCTTTGTTTGCAGGTGAGCTTGGGGAGCAATGAGTCAAAGCAGACCTATCTGAAAATATGGAATATGACTTCCATAAAAACAGAAGGATTTTTAAACCAAAAGACTGTGAGCATATAGGGGGAGCATGCAGAGGGTGAACAGAAAAAACCACCAACATCCACTATAAGTAGCATTACTGTGATCGTCAAGATTAACTCAAATATCTGCCCAAGCATAACCCAACCCATCTTACCAGAGGAATCTCTCTTCCATTCTACATCCATAGCATACCAGCCCAGCGTATTTCTCAGGTTTATCTAACATTCTAGTACATGTTATTATAGGTGTAGTAATTTTTCTTTTTTTTTGGTCGAGGAAGATTAGCCCTGAGCTAACATCTACTGTCAATCCTCCTCTTTTTGCTGAGGAAGACTGGCCCTGAGCTCACATCCGTGCCCATCTTCCTCTACTGTATATGTGGGACGCCTGCCACAGCATGGCTTGATAAGCAGTGCATAGGTCCACACCAGGGATCTGAACCGGCAAACCCCAGGCCGCCAAAGTGGAACGTGCGAACTTAACAGCTGTGCCACCGTGCTGGCCCCAATAGGTGCAATAATTTTACTCTACTGGATGCTTCATTTGGAAAGAAAGTTAAATGAACCACATTCTAGAAGAGCTTTAGTGAAAGAGCTATAGATTCAATGATGATATTAAGGCACGTATATTTTATAATTAATAGGGAAAATTGTTTAATATTTTGCAAGATATATTACTAACTGTAATGTTAAATGTGGGATGAGATTGGTCTGTGGTAACCATGAATGGCATCAATAAATGAAAAATGTTTAATATGTCAACAAGATTACCACTTGTCTTATCCACCTATTGCTATTTACTGTGCTATAAAGTAACAATAATTGGAAAAACGACAATGTGCCTACATATATAATACTCCATCTCCCTTAAGGAGTATCTGCACAGGAATGATATATTTCAAGCAAGATTCTGTGGATTTTGAAGATCTCTTTCTCCTCCTATTACCTGAGCCCTTTGAGTGTTTGTCCTTAATTCCTAGGCAAGTAGTAATCAGATCTTAACTCCCAATGAAATTAAGGTTGAGATAAAGGGAACTGAAAAGAAACAGTCCCACAATCACAATATTACAGATCTGTACCTTGTTCTTCATTTGACACAATGCATTCCAAAAGAAAGGAATATCATAATGCGTGAGAGCGGTGTGCCAGGACACAAACAACAGATGATATGGGAGAAAGATGGTTCAAGGTCATGAAGAGTCATGTGGCTGTGTGCCGATAATGCTGCAATAATAGGGTGTGGAAGACATGAGGGAAGAAAATTTTAATATAAAGGAAGTGACAGGGATGGAGTCATCTGTTCAAATCATCTTTCTCTTCAAAATTAATGTCCTGTGCTAACGAGTTTTAATTTTATATATTTTTAAATAAGACAGTTTTGCCAGAACTATTTGTACTCTTCCTCAAGTCGCCCACTTAACTTCCTTTATGATTTGACAACAATCATAACTTTGTCCAAATACAAAATAATTTAGCCACAGAGAAAGAGAAAGGAGGAGAGAGAAAAGATGAAGATGAAGAACAAGAAGGAGGGGAGACGGAGAAGAAAAAGCAAAAATAAATAAATTTAAACTAGAATTATTTTTAAAATTACTAAAATAATGTAACCTCTTGAGTTAGAATTAGTTAAATAAGTTTTTCTAAAATGATTGACCAAATTGACTAAATCGAATCTGGTTTCCTTTCCCTTTTCTATCAATTTAGAATGATAATACTTTTTAAATGTTGCAGTAAAGATCATTTGAAACAGGCTAACACCTTGTATTGTGACCAATATACAGATATATCAATCATTTTGGGTTGAATATAAATTAGTGACATTCACTTCGGTAATTTCCATTCAGAAAACCATAGAAAATTTTAAAAATAATTGGCTCAGTCTTTGGTATTTAAATGTAATAAGCTAAATAACAAAACTCCAACTCATTTCTTTCATTAAAAAAATATTTGGCATGAACGTTTTAAAAGCAATCAGTGAAGTAGTTAACATACAAACAGGAATCCATGTTCACAAGAGCAAAATTGATGGTATGATCAATGAAAGGAAAGGTATCTCGTCAAGCGACTGAAGATGTTTTCATTATTTAATGGTTGATGTTACCTAAAAGCAATATTGTACAATTCCAATAGCACCAAAAAGAAAGAAACAAGTAAAAAAGAATTACACAGACAATACCCAGCAGCTCCAATTCAGTGTAATAAATTTACATTTTATTGCTTTCTGTGCTTAACAAGAATTCTGGGATTCATTGGTTTCAAAGAATTTTCAAATTTAGCCAAAGTGATTCTAAAATAATATTAAGTTCATGAAACACAAATTAGTGTATTAATCTCCTACAAGAGTAAGCGTAGGGTAAAATTTACACAGAATCACCACTCTTCCATTAAACTTGTGCGCTGCAACGTTGATTTCATAGAACTACCACAGAGACAGAGCAGTTCCATCGAGTCGAACATTACTAGCAAGAACACTGCTGCTGCTGCTGCTTCTGTTACGAAGACGGGAAATAATAACAGCGTTTCACATCCATGGGCTGCCGCATAAATACACGGCACCCTGAGAATCTCAAAAACGGCATAATTGCAATTTGGTTGTGTTCACCCAAGAATAAAATTCTGTGGGGACTGTTTTATTTCAATATGAGCAGTCATATTTTATTTAAATATGAGCTTATATATTAAATGAGCAATTTGGGAATGTGTTATTAAGGTAAGGAGAATTCAAATATGCATTAGTCAAGCATTTCTATGTGAAAAATACGAAAACATTTAGTTTCAGTCTATTATGCAATTTCACATTCAAAGTCTTCAACCTTTTCTTCTAATAAAATTGAGATATTGGTGGAAAATTGAGGAAAACATTTCAATATTTCTCATGTGGAATCTCAAAAGCCCTAGATCCCAAGATTTATAAATAACCTTTAAAATTTCTCTTAATTACTCTTGTGTCTTGATAGGATATGGAAGGTTTAAACCGTCAAAAAGTGATATTTCACGTATTAAACGTTTGTAGAAAAAGTCACTTTTATTCAAGAAAGAAAAATATATATTTCTTCTTGAGTAGACTACTAAAGAACATGCACTTTCAACTGTACAAATACATTTTTGTATTTGGATATTATTCATTATATGTCCTCTTTCCATTTACAACATTCTTTTGAGGAAAGATACTTACTAGTGTGTCTAATAAATCCCTTGCTCAATGTATAGAAATATGAGAGCAAACATTAAAATAACCACTAACCAGAGGCTAGGCAGATAAAAATCAAGCACATGGTTCAACATTAAACTACTTACATACTTTCTATTCTCTTAAGTCCATGAAAAATTGTGTTTGTGAGGAGAGTTGGTGTATTTCTTTTAAGCGATTGTGATGTCATCTCCTTGCTCATGGTTTGTTAGATAGAATGGGGTAGTTTGAATAGTTCCAATTAAGACTTAGAGATTTCAACTTAACAGGTCTTTTTGACCTCACATATTTCCAAAAGGTTTTTGGAGGAAGTACCTACTCATCTAGCTACCTAGACGAATTGACAGTCTCTGTATTAAACTTACCTCAACTCTCAGAGCAGACAGGTGACTATCACCTAGATTGGCAATTAGCTTAATATTTGACATGGAGACCTATTGTATTATAATTTTCCAATGTGAATTCATGTGGAGGATATGACTAAAGATGTTATTACAAAAAATTATGAGTGACTGAGGACCCTCAGTAGTTCTTTAGTTTTCAAAAGGTCTTTCTCTTGAAACAATGTTTTAGACATATGAGCATAACATTTCTTCTATTGTTCAGGAAGAATAATGACTCTCTCTACTCGTTTTTTCTGTCTTTGAATAAAAAAAATTGGTTAAAAATGTTATTCACTACAAAATGACAGGTTGTTCAAATTATAATTTAAAATTTTTTTGTAGTTGAAATTAAAATTTCATATTCTTTGTTAAGGTGACGACATTTCTATTTGGACAGAAATATATTAGCCAGAAGGAAATTAATTCTCATTTTTAAAGGTACCACATATACTGAACTGAAAAACAAACATTTGTGCTATTTTAAGACATACTTTAACAATTTTTCATTTCAAAGTTTATGATTTTCAATATTTTTGCCTTTCTAAACCTTATAATGAAGGAAAATTCAACTATACTTATTGTTTATCAAAAGAGAATACACTAGGCAATGAGAATAGGGACTTTTTCACTTTAGGTGTGTTCAGCATTTTCTGACTTATCATTTTCTACGCAGTCTATTGCAAGTAGATTTAAGCTTCCACAAAAACACCGAAACTTTCTTGGCACAGATCAACAACAGCCTCCATAGTGAAAATTCCAGTGGTTAATTTTCTCCTCAACTCTCTGGGTTTCCACTGAAAACTGGGAAGCCTTTTGATTATGTACAACTCTTAGTTTCTTTAACATTCAAGCTTCTTAGAACATGCTTTCATTAAATAAAAGAATATCTCAGATCAAAATCTAGTCAGCAACTCACACAGATCAGATCACTAACCAGTTAAATCAGTAGAGTCGTTAGTACGAAATAACTATTTTTCAAAATCATTTGATAGTGATAAATTGAGGATTCTCAAACTCTACTATAAAAGAGTTCCAAAAAACAGAGACGCAAGTGTCTAAAGTACTGTTTAGTTCGGTTGCTAGTGAAAACGACATTTTGGACATTATATCGGAGTGTTAATCACCACAATTATCTCAACTTCTTTTTCTGTGTCTTGGTTGAATATTCCAATTTTTAGGGCATTTTTTCACCCTTGAGAATCCTTTTCATAAAAAGTACAGGGAACGCAACTCTCTAACACACTTACACACACCCCCCTAAACCAAAAGTTTGTTGGCATTTCAAATTTTACCAACTAATTCCAAAGTACATGCATTAAAATAATCACACCCCTGTCTTGAAGGTGATTGGTAGATTTATGAAAAAGGTGGCTTCACATTATACAAACTTTAAGTAGTAAATATTTCATTACACTTAGCAAACTATATTGACTAAAATTACTTTACATTCCAGGGTGATACAAGATTTACATATTATTAATAAAAGCGAACACATCTATCTACATCTGTCTTAAAAATTAATTGATACTAATTATCCATTAACATAATTTAATGTTTAGTTAAATTATTGAACTCTCAGCAATTTATTCATTCCATAAATATGTATTGAATTACCTTCTATATATCAGACACTGTCTCTGGTGCTGGGGTAAAAGGCAATAAACACAAGAGACAGAGTCCTTGCCCTCATGTAGATGATATTCTAGAGGAGGTGTTCATCAGGTAGTGATTCTGGCCATTAAGACAAAAAAGGCAGCGTTAGGAAGCTGAGGGCAAATAGAATGACTATCTATCTACAAATGTGACAAAACTGATCATTATTATCTGGTTGCTGCTCAGATTTCAACCATTATCCTTAGCTGCTTTGTTTAGTACAGTAGCTCTTAAATTTTAGCATGCATTAAAATCACCTAGAGTGCTTATTAAAAAACAAATTTTAGTGTTCCACTCTCAGAGTTTCTGACTCAGTAGGTCTAGGTGGGACTGGAAATTTGCATTTCTACCAAGTTCCCATGTGATGCTAATGCTGCTGTTTCAGGACCAGCATCATTACTGTTCTTGGCTATTTAAGGAAGTGACATGTCTAACACTATTTTCCATTTGGTATGATATCCATAAGGTTAAAATCAGTAATTGCATGTCACCATACTCTCATGTAAACAATATTGTGATTTTTATAGTTTCTATTGTGCACTTTCAATAAAGGAAATACGTTATTCTTCCTACATGCCGTAGTTCTCTCTAAATAAGATAATTTGAATTATAGATGCACACCACTCCTTTCTTCAATTTTCTATCTGCTGCAGGCATATGATTATCTGTGCAAAAAAGACAGATTTGCACATAAACACTTTCTAACAAATAGAGACATAATAAACCTCTCTGAGTTCTCAATTTGGAGATGTCCATACTTAATATTCCTTTGATTCTCTGCACATTGATTGCCATTTACTGGTAATGTCTAGCCAGTTGGCAAAAAAAAAAAAAAAAAGGATGATTTATATACTTAGATAGCATTGTTAAATTTCTGAAACACGACTGGGCAACCTACTCTACACAAATCCAAACTCAACAGATACAATAAACAACCTCTAAAACCAAAGTATTATGCAAAATAATAGCCTGCTAAATGATTACTGCACTTTAGAAAATCCTCAGTCATGGCTGGAATTAACAATCAGCACAGATTCTTAGTTCTTCCTTAGGAAATGTACAGATAACAAACTAAACATTTTGGGGCTGGCCCCGTGGCCGAGTGGTTAAGTCTGTGCGCTCCGCTGCAGGCGGCCCAGTGTTTCGTTGGTTCGAATCCTGGGCACGGACATGGCACTGCTCATCAAACCACGCTGAGGCAGCGTCCCACATGCCACAACTAGAAGGACCCACAACGAAGAATATACAACTATGTACTGGGGGGCTTTGGGGAGAAAAAGGAAAAAATAAAATCTTTAAACAAACAAACAAACAAACAAACTAAACATTTTGCCAATTTATGATCATAATTATATCATACAAAGGACAAATAATATAAGAATGTGATCAATGAAATGACATTTCAGAATCTCAAATTTGGCCCTATGCAGTTTTACTGAATTTTTAGGAAACACTCTTTCTACACCTAGAGCTACTTTCCCGAGAAGAATTCAACACATAAAAACCCTATGATATTACATACGCAAAACAAGTATCTATTGTCAGAAAATGGCGGGCAATGTAATTCTTCACTAGCTAGCTTTCTTTCGGCCATGAAGGGCTTTTGAGCCAGTCAAGATAGTAAAGTGTAAAAATTATGTATTTTTTCTAGAATTGAGTCAAGAGAAGTATTTAGTAATGATCTAACTAAGCTCAGTATATGTTCTGCACTGATAATTTCCATTTCATTGTGTTTATCATTACTATGACTTGCTAACATTTACTGAGAGCTTAGTGTATGCCATGCCTTTTGTGAGCATAATTTATGTGAACCAATTAAACGGTATTTACCATTGGAGATGAGGAAATAGAAGTCAGGTAGTGACAAATAACTTTTTAAAAAATATTATATAGCTAGTAGCTGCAGAGATATTATTTGAACCTGTTATTTAAACACTATACCATATCGTCTGTCTCATACTTCAATAATTAGCCTTACTGAGGCAATAATTATCCGAGGAAGCATGATCAACAGGAAGAATACGTTACGTATATTTCCCTGTCATTTGAATGTCCAAACATACTGAATATCTTCTCTTTGAGTCAAAAAGTAATATATAACCCATATGTGACCATTGCATATTTCAACAAACTTTATTTCAAAAAAAGTAGAGAAATGTATAGGTAGTTTTAGGCTCTTGTTATACAAGTTATTTTGAAAGCCTTCTCTAAACTTACACAATCACTAATAATGCATAAATATATGAAATTTTACACATGCCTTTCAACATTAGAAATTGTGTATACAATTTTTCTTACCTTCAGGTGTATGTTCTCATACATTTTGTGGAAGGAAAAAATTCTTAGATAATCTGTTCATATTGTTTGATGAAATAGCTAACCTATATTCCTGAATATCTTATTTTAATTAGCATATAAACTTATGAGCAATTTTGTGAGTAACCCCAAAGGCAACATTTTAAAAAAGAAATCTGTTTAAAATATTGAATGTAATTAAACTACTGTAATACTGAAAGTTATAAATACATAGTGCTGAATATATTATCTAGATATATGATTGGCTAACTTTTTTCCACTAAATTAGATATCTAAGAAATTTTTAGAGAGTCATGTTTGCCATTTGCTCAAAAAGTAAATACAAAGTAGAAAGGTAATTTTTTCAAAGACAGGAGTTTTGTTGATTTTTATTTTCTTTAGTATATTCCTATTGTTGTATTTCTCAGATTTTTTTACAGATAGGATATATATATATATATATATATATATATATATATATATAATTTATAGTCAGAAAACACTTAGGTGCTCAGTGTATATTCACCGGAATCACTGAGCTGGAGGTGATCTAGGGAACATCTAGTCAGTGATTTTCAATCTTTTTTGCACTAATTTATTTTTTTTCAAATAAAGCCTTTCTTGGAACTCAAAATGAATAAAAGTAATGAACAGACACCTCTGTCACTGTAGATTTCTATGGTTTGTGAAAAACACTTCCTTGCTTGCAGAACCCATGAAGCATCTCTGCCATGGGACAAGTCAGTGGGCTTGCCCTGCAGGCAATGCACTCCAGCCCTCTTCCTAGGCCAGGCGACTCTCCCAGCTATTCAATACGAGAAGGCATCATATTCTAAACTCAGAAATGAAAGAAGAGTAGTTTTACTTTATATAATATATTTTGCCTCCTCCAAGTAAAACGTAATGTGTTCGAGGCCAGGTGTGAAGAAGGACCCCAGGCTCTCTGAGGAGTGGAAGGCAGTGAAGGTGATCTCTGACCGCCCTTCACCGCTTCCAGTGGGGCAAGGGCCATGAGGCTTTCCCACGCTCTTCACGCGAGACGAGAGTTACTCTTGTAAAATTCATCACAACAACACGCACCTGCACGTATTACCCATATGCAAAATGAACCTGCTCGGAAACCAGTGGATGGAATTTGCTCAAGTTGAATATAAAGCCTAATACAAGATGTTAAATAATCAAAAATGATTCATGACTTTATTACTTTAGATTTATCTCAAAAATATTTTTATTTAAGTAAGCAAAAAAAATAATGTAAGTAGAGCTAATTGTCTTTTTTTTCTTGTTTTAATTGCACGAGATGAAGGTAATGTCAGACACTAGAGAAAGCGTTATGTTAGTATGTAGCTGGTCATAGTTTTAGTCTTTGCTCTCAAGATTTTGTTTTTTTAAGTGAAGAATTTGTCTTAAATGATCCAAAAGGTATTTTCTAGCTTAAGGATATGCTAACAGCATATATTAATAAATCTGATTTCTCTAAAATATATCATTAAAAGAACTCATAACAACTACTTCTTAACTGGAAACATTTTTCACCTTATATTTCCACAGTCCACTGTAGAAGTTTTTTTCTTTCTTTCTGAATTTTGCATATTCTATCAAACTCATATATTTATATAACGATTCAAGTTTACTGAAATTGCTCTTTGCCTTTGCGGGGTATCCAGTTTGCAGATAAAAACACTGTGGAACACAGCAGCCCCCGAGGCCCCCGTGAGATGCAACTACTGTCTAAGGACATGGCTGTGGGAACCGTGCCTCGTCCCTTAGAGCAAGTCAAGGTGGGTGCAAGCGGGGAGACTGCCCTTTGGAGGAAGAAATCTATGTTGTTTTAGAAGTTTTTAGGCCCTTAAAATAGAAAATATATGATCACACGAGACAATTCTTTTTCAAAATTTGATTCTCCAGCAATCTGAGCTTCTAAACTAATTAGCAAGTTCTGTGAATATTTAAAACTATGAAAAGCAGCCTATAAGACCGCATTAGATATGCAAAAAATTTGCATATAAATCTGTTTATGTAGAGATAGGATTTCCAGAATTTTTTTTCAAAATATACGCACAACCTCAAAATTGTCCCTCCCAAAGTATTTTAGGGGACTTGTATGGCAAAAAAAATAAAGTACTGCTCTTTTCTCCTTTTACTTGTAAAGGCACATTAACTTGTACAACAAAACAACTCAGACTTTGTAAATCACGAATTAGCAAAATATCTACTGGAGATATGCCAAAACATACACAACCAAAAATAGGAAATGCGTGAAAATCTGAACGAGGCTTTTTGCATACATTAGGAACAGAAGGATAAGGAAAATCCGACAAATGTCTGCTTTGTTCTGTAATGAACAGGAGAAGAAAAGAAACCTGAGTGGAATAAAATGGGGATGGGAACAGGAATGGTGAAGCTGGGCCAATCTCTGGGGACATGGGAAGAAAATAAATGGGGTGATCAAGGAGGCGATATGTGATCAATATTTTTTAGAGAAGGCACTGGCCTCACCTCTCAATCTCTCAGAAAAATCCTCTGCCCTTTTTGCTGCCAGTTTCCTGAAACTTTGTGGCTGTAATGCCCCTATGACCATTCCTGCTTCTTAGTAACAGAGGTATCGCTTCAGGTGTGTGGTTGGGATAGGAATGGCAATAGTTAAGGAGAAAGGCAACTCTGCAACGGCTACCTTCGGAATGAAGAATACAGAATACTGTCATTGAATACTGTCAAACATCAATTACCTCATACTACGTGCCAGGCACTTCACATTATTAATTAACTTTTCACATGTAATTCTCACAGTAACTCCATGAGATACAGACTCTTGGTATGTTACACATGAGGAATCTGATGCAAAGTGACAGTCACTTGATAAGGCCATTGAGTACAGAGACAGGATTTGAACCCAAGCCTGTTGGCCCCAGAGCACATACCTTATCCAATAGCACACACCACCTACATCATTCCATGAAGAGGTATATTCTCAGCTGACAAATGGTTGTCTGAAGAGGGGACGGGTTGGTAATGGAATGTGGGGCAGGGGAAAACTAGGAAATGCAAAAAACACATACCACTGAGTTTATCGTAACAGAAGAGAAGTCAGAAAAATGGAGCAAAGAATACATACCAGAGATCAAGATATGACATGGACATTATCTACACAATTACATTTCATACTGCTTTCCTTATATGTTAAAATCTAATTTTTTCTCTGAAGTATTTCTAGATTCTTGTACTTACGCATATTAAAACAAACAAATAGGTCCTTATGGGTTGATGGGAAATCTGATCTATGATTTACATTTTTATGGTTCTTAGTTCCCAAATACCATTCAATCATACACTTTAAAAATGCATATATAACCTGTTTGTCTATAAAAGGCTGCTACTTTCTACATATGAATGCAAATGTGCAATGTATTAAAAAAGAGGTATGACACATGTGATGTCAAAGTGACAGAAAACTGCTCTATTTTTAGAGTTGTTCAACATGAATCATGTTAATGACTGATTAGAAGTACACTCATAACATATTTTATTGAAGTAAGATACTTCCCTGAAAAGAAAAGCCAAGTGTGGAATATCCACCTTTTTCCAGTTTTACTAGAATTTTAAGATTCATTTCGGTAAAGCAAAAAACCATAACTTTCAATTTGATGCTGTTTTTAAAATATTTTTCCAAGAGATTTTATATTATATAGAGGTAGCATTTTGCAATAACAAAGTATTACAATTATGGAAAACATATTTTATTCCTTAAAATAAGTGCATTTTATTAAATAGGTAGTCAGTCACGTAATAACT